TAGAATCCTTTCACTAATGTCATGCTTCAAAATGACTTTACACTCGACAATAATTTAGTACTATCTCAACGTCTAACAGATTTTTCTTTTAATTGTTCTACACCAACCATAAGAACAGTCTTAATGGTTTCCAATAGAAGATAGGGTATAAACAACCTACAATTTATCCTACTCACTGTGGAAACACTTGGACTTGATAGCTTGATGAATTGAGCCAGAACTTTCCTTTTTTGTTTTCAAAAAAAATAAAAACAGAAACAACAGTTTTTATTTTGTTTCTGTGGTAAAAAGTTGAAATTCTAATTAACTCAAGAACAGAGTAAAATTTTCTTCTAACTGGCAAGAACTTCCCAAATCAACTCTGGATCAAAGGAAGGCAAACGCGCCAGTGAACAACCTTCCAACTCTGATTCATCCGGTGCCGCCGGAAACTCGCCGGAAACAGAGCATTGTGAATTCTCTCCCATCCAGAGCCCATCTTCAGAATTACTTGCTGACACCATTTTATTACTCCAACTGCCATTGCCAGTCATTGACGATGACATCAACGAGCACGACGAAGATGAATCAACCGTCATCACGTTTTTACTCTCATTACCCTTATCTCCATTACCCCTAGAACTCCTTTTCTTACCTCTCTTGTTTGCTTTCTCTCTCTTAACCTTTTGACAAATGGCTTGGATTTTTGCATCCACAGCACTCTTCAAAGCATTCAATTTAGCACAATCTTCGAATCCAAACTTGCTTGCGTCGCAAAGATTCGGAAAATTCAACCGTGCATATTCACCACGAAGCTTATAGGCTGCTCTGTCATAAGCATAGGCCGCAGCTTCAGCTGTTTCATAAGTTCCCAACCAAACTCTCAATCTGTTCTGAGGAAGTCTTATTTCAGCTACCCATTTGCCCCAATGCCTCTGTCTCACTCCTCTGTACAGCTTTTTCTTTAAGGGAGTACCAAAATTTTGTGGGTAAACAGAGTTCTGAAATGGGTTGATTAGCGAAGTTCGTGAGATTGCTGGGTTTGCTCTGTTCTCATCGTAAAACTTTTGGAGTAAATCTCTTTGGCGGAGATTATACATGTATATCTCCGCCAAAGAGATTTACTCCAAAAGTTTTACGATGAGAACAGAGCAAACCCAGCAATCTCACGAACTTCGCTAATCAACCCATTTCAGAACTCTGTTTACCCACAAAATTTTGGTACTCCCTTAAAGAAAAAGCTGTACAGAGGAGTGAGACAGAGGCATTGGGGCAAATGGGTAGCTGAAATAAGACTTCCTCAGAACAGATTGAGAGTTTGGTTGGGAACTTATGAAACAGCTGAAGCTGCGGCCTATGCTTATGACAGAGCAGCCTATAAGCTTCGTGGTGAATATGCACGGTTGAATTTTCCGAATCTTTGCGACGCAAGCAAGTTTGGATTCGAAGATTGTGCTAAATTGAATGCTTTGAAGAGTGCTGTGGATGCAAAAATCCAAGCCATTTGTCAAAAGGTTAAGAGAGAGAAAGCAAACAAGAGAGGTAAGAAAAGGAGTTCTAGGGGTAATGGAGATAAGGGTAATGAGAGTAAAAACGTGATGACGGTTGATTCATCTTCGTCGTGCTCGTTGATGTCATCGTCAATGACTGGCAATGGCAGTTGGAGTAATAAAATGGTGTCAGCAAGTAATTCTGAAGATGGGCTCTGGATGGGAGAGAATTCACAATGCTCTGTTTCCGGCGAGTTTCCGGCGGCACCGGATGAATCAGAGTTGGAAGGTTGTTCACTGGCGCGTTTGCCTTCCTTTGATCCAGAGTTGATTGGGAAGTTCTTGCCAGTTAGAAGAAAATTTTACTCTGTTCTTGAGTTAATTAGAATTTCAACTTTTTACCACAGAAACAAAAATAAAAACTGTTGTTTCTTTTTATTTTTTTTGAAAACAAAAAAAGGAAAGTTCTGGCTCAATTCATCAAGCTATCAAGTCCAAGTGTTTCCACAGTGAGTAGGATAAATTGTAGGTTGTTTATACCCTATCTTCTATTGGAAACCATTAAGACTGTTCTTATGGTTGGTGTAGAACAATTAAAAGAAAAATCTGTTAGACGTTGAGATAGTACTAAATTATTGTCGAGTGTAAAGTCATTTTGAAGCATGACATTAGTGAAAGGATTCTAAAATCAGTTACCA